GAGGGACGGGGGAGACACTGGGCTCAGCTGGGGGGCACTGGGAGGGAGGGCAGAGGGCTTGGAGGACATTGGTAGGGATTGGGATGGCACTGGGAGGGACTGGGAAGAGAGTGGGGGAGAAGGGGCTGGGCTGGGGGGACACTGGGGAGAGAGTTGGGAGATGTGGGAGTGAAGTGAGAACGACTGGGAATGGACTGAGAGGGTCTGGGAGTGGAGTGACGGGGACTAGGAATTACTGGGAATGACTGGTGTGGACTGGGAAGGAAGCGCTCGGGACTGGGAGGCTGAGTCGCGGTGAGGGAAGTCTTTGGTTTGGGTCTGCCTGGCAACTGGAGCGTCATCAGAGAGACGCGCTGGGATTGGCTGAGGGGCGTGAGATCGGTGGCCCCAGCGGGATGGAGGCACGGGATGGGATGGACTGGGAGAGACTGGGATGGACTGGGATGGACTTTGAAAAAGTGGAATGGACTATGAGAGAGTAGGGGGCATTGGAAGGACTGGGAGAGACTGGAAAGAACTGGGAAGGGGCAAAAGGCCAAGGGAAGGGCACAGGGAGGGCTGAGGGGTCTGGGGTGATTCCCAGGGAGGGTTTGAGGGGCTCCAGGGTCATTCCTGGGGCAGGACCTGAGGGGACCCGCTCTGCCCCACGCTCACCTCTCCTCTCCACACTGAACGGAGCACCAAGTTTGTAGTTGTGCCGGCAGAGCCTGTCCACTTCAACGCGTTCGTACTCCAGAATTTCGGGATTGTTGTTCCATTGCCTGGCCCAGAATTCTCCATATGGGGTGTCCCCCACAAAGACCCCCACATCGCTGTCGAAGTGCACGTACTGCTCCCGGTTGTAGATGAGCCTCTCCACGAACCTCACCCGCTCGGTGCCATTGATGAAGTGACACTCGCCCTTTCCCATCCACTGGAACACCCCTGTGTGTGCAGGACGCGGGTCAGGGGGTGCCCCGTCCCCCCATCATCCCCCAGCCCCCCACAGCAGGTTGAGAGCTCAGGGGGCCACCCCGGACCCCCCTTTCCCACCCCCCTCTGCCCCACGGATGCCCCAGCACCAGCTCTTGGCTGGGGGGGAACCCCCCCATCAGCCCCCCGGGGATGGACAGGGGGGTTGGGGACCCCCCCACTGCGGATCCGACCCCCCCAGAGCCCCAGGGAACCGCTCCAGGGCTCAAGGGACACCCAGGGACCCCCAGGGCACCCCTCTGCCTGCTCTCCCACACCCCCTTGCCCCGCTCTCCCACCCCTTTCCCACCGTCCCCACAATCCCCAGACCCCCCGACCTCACTTTGGGGCTCCCACTTCCCTCCTACTCACTCCGAGCCTTCCAACCCCCCTCCCACTCACTTTTCGGGCTCCCACCCCCTCTTTTCTCCCCTCTTTCCCCCACTTTCCCACC